TTCGGCCATTACGCACCCACGTGAATGTGTACGACTGGTCCTTAGCTTTTTTACGAGCCGCGGCATGTAGAGATTTTGTTGACGGCGTAAGATGTTCCGAAACAAAGATAGGCCCGTGAGGTGCAGCATATCCCAAATGCTTAGATGAGAGTTCATATCATTGGGATGCCCTCTGTTAAATTTGGTTATTGCAGCTAGTAAATTGTCACGGAGGCGAGGTGAACGTAATTTGGCTATAACAGTCCTTGGTTTTTTATTTTCTTTATCGAGCTTAGCTACTCTACTTATATTCATTATGTCGTCGTCATGGAGCGTGCACTCAACTGTTTTAGCCAATCGCAATAACGTTGTACTCAGTATCTCAGATTTGTGTTCCGGAATATTGTTGATTTCAACGTTACACTCTCGTAGATATTGTTCCGCTGTGTTCAATCTGTTCGATAAATCAGTAACAGCACCAGTAAGTTTTTCATTGTCGACTTGTAGCTTTCGAATCATATTTGACTTTTCTTCCAGTTCTTTCTTCATCTCTTCATATTTAGCATTAAAAAATGAAAGTGAATCCTGAAAGCCAGATACGTATTCTACGGTGCTACTTTGAAATCTTCAGAACATCAAAAACTTAAATGTCCATTATGGAGACTGGTTGCTTTTAAATAAGCTACTAGGCTGCTATCACCTCGCTGGGAGAATTACTGGATCTTTTGCTAGCAACAGACTCAGACATAAACTCCATCGAAGTCTCATATCCGTTAGCAACCTCTGACACTGACTGGTTTAGATAGTGTCTACATAAACTCAACTCGATCACGAATTTCATTCTGAAAGGCGAATGTGCTGGAACGAAACTGCAAATTAGAATTAATCGATGGAAATTATGTATAGGTTTATAGATGTGAATATGTGTAACGTTAGATTAGACATTTTAATGCTTACTTAAAATGTTTACTTTTTCATGTAACATACTTTTAATTTCATTTGTAACATATTTTAACTTTGACTTCACTTAAACAAAGTTTTGCTCTAAAATAATAAATTATTTTGTTTGAGTGTACGTTTAATACATTATGACTTTTAGCACTAGTGAAGTAATTTATATGTATTTGTGAAATAACTATATTTGCTTTCCATATTTTTTTTTTCGTATGACATTTATAACTTATCTTTAATAATATATATATAAAAATATTTTTGAAAAAGTTATTTTTATCAAATAGATACAAATTCGTGAAAATGATTGCACTTTATTGAGAAAATTATGTACAAATAACAAAATAGCCAGTACTATAAATGAATATAGAAGTAAGTTAAGAAGGAAAACTGTGAGATCAGTAAACAATATATAGATCACATACAATAAAAAATGAATATTACTTAAGTTTCCATCAGTACTAGCAACACTGTCCGTACCAACAAGAGTTTGGTTGCCAAACGTTGAAATTCATTGTTTGTCCACAAGATCATTACCATCGATGTTTACTTTATAAAGCAAGCAACTGATTCGCCAATAATTCTAAATTATCACCAATGTTGGACCTGTTAGGCAGCCAAATTGCCTTAAGCCTGGCTCTTGACAAAGCAGGGGCTCAACTGTATAATTACACCGATTTTGCTGTGACAGTAATAATGTTTTGCAAATGGTTACAGATGTTTCCCCAATTGGTTAATGTGGAGTCTAATTTATGTGGTGTTTCAAGCGCTTAGTTGTTTATAAAAGAGACACTCCCTCATTTTAGGGATTGTAATAATAATTTATACAAGGTGACGTTGCAGCCTTATATTATAAAGATAAATATAATATAACTAAGATAAAATAAAAATTACTATTATTTTATTTTAGTTATGAACATTTATTTTACAAAGTTCAAGTATTCATTAATTTTGTATATTTAAAATAAACTATGTAACTACAGAATGATATTAAATGATAAATTTTAAAGTGCCACAAAAATATTAATCATACTTTTAATTTATGACGAAGAAAATCCTTTACAAATAGGTATAGGTAGTAAGTGAAACAATAAATGAACATAATTTATAATACAAACTCAATGAAACTGAGCAGTTTTAATTAATTTTACCGCGAATTTCAAAGGTGCAAAAGTTTAGAATACAGTACACCGCGGGTTATCTCTCAAGTTAACAGAGAACTTTTCTTACGACTATATACCGACATTATTATGTTTTTCATTACAAATAATATTAATTCCTTCCAACTGGTTAAACATTTAGATACAGAAATATGTATAAGTATAAATAATATTATCATTTACAAACAACAACAAAAGAAATACTTACTTCCTATAAGTAATAAAAACCTTCGTTTCAGTTATGAGACAGTAACTGGTTTGATTTTTGAAGTGAACGGATTTTTGGATTTGAAAGCGTTCAAAACAGAGAGAATAATAAATTCCATTCAAAATTCAAGCTCATACCATAGTTCCTTGATGAATTTATAATGAGCTGTACTTTGCATAACTGTTTATTAATCTAATCTCTATGAATGCCATATCTCACTTGAACAGCTCTCAGAAGCTTTTAGATTGGAACAGTTTTGTTCTATTCTCTTAATTTTTAATCTGTTATTATATTCACTTCATAGAATCTATAGAAGCTTGTTTATGAATAAAAATTCTTCTCTGTTGAAGTACACTGAATAGCCGAATCTATTACAGTAATTTTATATTTTGTCGTCATCTTGTTTACCACAAAACGGTATCATTAATATTCTGTGATAAGTCTTAATATACAACACAAAGTAGATATTTTTGTCCCATTGCATTAATATAATGCATTACTGATTTTACAGTATATAATGATATTTAGCTACGAAGTACATATAAACGTATTGGACTCCGCACACTGTTTTGTGTGGTGATATTGACAAACACTTTCTACTTATCCCAGTTTTATTTAATGTGCAATATTTTTATGCCTACTTATGTACATATAAAATTAAATGGCTTTACATCGCTTTGTATTTATTATAAAAACTTGTCACGAAATTTCCCTTTGAAAAAAAAAACAAGTAAATGTATAAAATAATTTGATGTCATTGATTGGCAATTAATAATGTTCAATCTATTCACTAAAATACATATATCTAAGTGACGTTGTACCTAGGAACTAAAAGTTTAAAAATATTTTGTTTCATTCTAGCACATTCAAATCGAAGTTTGTTTTATATTTGGGTTTTTTACATTTAAATTATTCATTTATTTATTTATTTTATTTCATCCTACTAATTTGGTAACTGCAAATGTTTGGTTGAGACACACACTTTAATAAGCAAAAACCGTAGCACTGATTTCTTATAAACTTTGTATGTATGAAACTACATATATGAATCGCTTTATGTAGCTGCATTTTCCTCAAAAATTTTGCTCTAAATAATTATAGAAATTGACATCATTAGGCTTTCAGAGCCCACTGCTGAGCAAAGGCCTCTTTCTCACATGGAGAAGGTTTGAGCATTAATCACCACTCTTGCTCAAGACGGGTTGGTGATTAATTATAGAAATTGTGATTATTAAAAAATATTTCATTGTTACATTAAACGGTCAACTGTCTATCAAAGAAGCATATTAAAGTTCACTCTAATATTCACGTCACAAGTTGTTTATTCCACTCATTTATGTAATTCAGAGCCTCAGATTTTGGAACAGATCATTCATATCATGTCAAGATCAAAGGTCTCGCGAGACTTCGTGTGTCCAAATTAATAACAAACTTGTTAAACAAGCTTGACCTGTTTTATTTACCGTTACATTGATTCAAAGTACTTACTAATGATAATGAAAATTGATAGTTTTCGCAGCAGGTATTCATAAGAAAAATGTAATAAAAAAATGGGAAGTATTTGTGACACCACCACCTTTTCTAACATAATTCCATAAAAAAAACAAATATTGTTTTATTTTATCAAAATAAATGTTGCTGGGATCGAAATAATGTATTAGGGTTTTATTATATTTCCAAGTTTATACATTAGCTTTGCCGAATAGAAACAGATATCCACACATTTTTACATATTACCTTTTTTGTATATAATTTAAATAATGATTAATCAAATAAAAAAAAAGTAATAATTTATCTATTTTTCTTTATGAAAAAAATATTTCTGTAGCTTTTATAAATGACAAACAGACATAAAGGTCATTTTTATATGTTAACAAGTTGCTTTAGTACTTTATATCTCCAAGGATTTAATATAACCTTTGACAATATCCAAGTCGTATGGGAGATAACCAAACAACACTCACCTCAGAATATCTCAAGTTTTCTCATTACTTAGAACTTTGAGAAAATAAATTATAGTGCGCGGTTTCTTTATTACATTATCCGATGGAAAGTTATAGTAACTAATATTATAAAAAGCGGTTAACTGTATCATAGCGGCTTTAATTATTAGGTCTGTAAATAATTTGACATGAATAGTGGAGAACGAAGTAAAATATAGCTCTTATTTCATATATAAAAAAGTACAATCTTATCAATGAAGTAAATGTAATATGTATGTTTTCTATGGCAAGTTCAGAAAACATTTTATTTTAATTCATAATAAGAATTATAATTAAAAATCGTTAACCTATATCAGTATTCGGCATACCCACGTTGATTTCTTGTTATACAAATGTTATGATAATATAATGTTTCAATAATTTCAATCCCCTTGTGTAATTGTTAAGGCAATTGTGTTATTCCTTGAAATTGCTATTAGTGTTTCTTGACGCTTCGGAACATTATAATATATCGTGGAAAGTGATATAAACGAATGAACTTTCACGTCCTGATTATTTCTGATAATATTTTTTCAAAATTTAAGCTAATAAAATAAAATTGATTGCATAACTAATTTATATTACAAGTATATTTCATTTTATTACTATTGTATGTCGCTGTTGTCATATTTTTTTTAGAGTCACTTGATATTACCTTATATCAAACGGTACTATTAAAAAAACGGTTAATTAATTAAATAAATTTATTTAAATGTGAAATTAGATATCGGTCTTTCTGTATTTATCATAAATGTTCTTCCAGAGATGAAAAGCGCTATTGTTTGGCATAGATCCTATTTTTGGTTCCTTATCAATATATAAGAAATTCATGTTGTGCTTTTTACTAGGTTCCCATTTCACTGCGGAATCAGTCCAATCAGGCGTGGGATCTCTGAAAAAATGTATTCTGATACAATTACGCAACTAAACAATTTTATTAATAAATAACTATTGAAGATGTTACGTACCCATATTTTGCAAAATTAGTCCACAAAGTAGTCATGAAGTCAATAATTTTTTCATCTTCTTTTGTATATATAGGAGGAATAAGAGAACCTTTAAATAAATAAAATAGATCATCTGCGTGGCTCGCTCCCGGCTCATTATAATAACCACTTCGCAATTTCATAAAATTTCTTTGACCAGAGTAATTAAAAATGTAATTATAAACTTTGGATTGAGTTTTATCAATTAAGCATTCAGTCTCAAATATTGCTGGTATCTCAAAATATAAATGTGTATAGAATTCTGCTACTTTCAATATTTGATTCATATTAATTACTTCATCACCGAAGTAGAAGTTTTCTATTTTCTTGGATATCACAAATCCTTCTTCATCGGATGAAAACCTTAAATCTGATGCAAACAAATAGCGACCATGTCTTTCTGCGAGAGTTTCATTCGTATCTCCGGCTATTAAAAGAAAACCCTCCCTACTTGTTGATCCATAAATAACATCTATATCTTTAGATATATTTTTATATAAATTAAATGGTAAGTCGGTAATCACTGCCTCTTCGTCTAAAATACTTGATTCTACACAGGGTAAATGAAGGAGCTGCGTGTCAAAGAATAATTCCAACGGTTTTCTTGCGCGTAAGGCTATCAATTCCTGATAGGTCATTTTAGAAAATATGTCATATAATTCTTTTGGATTTTTCGTTTCATAACCCGCTGATTTTGCTAGTAAGCTAGCAACCCAAACAGGATTTCTATTTATCGACCAATTAGATACTGATGTACCGCTTTGCATAATAGCCCTCTTGAAAAGCCCGGCAGCAGCGTTACTAATTAATAAAAGAGATGCCGAAGTAGCGCCAGCACTTTCACCCATGATTGTTATATTATCGGGATCTCCTCCAAATGCGCCAATATTTTTTTTAACCCATTTCAAAGCTGCTATCTGATCCTTTATTCCAGCATTTCCAGGCGCCTCTTTTATTCTTAAACATAGGAAACCCAGTATACCAAGGCGATAATTAAAAGTAACCACTATAACCCCTTTCTGAACTAAAAAATCAGGACCGTATAGATTTTTACCACCACTTCCTAATATGAAAGCTCCTCCGTGAATATAAACTAAAACAGGAAGCGATTTTTTATTTGAGGCAGGTACGAAAACATTGATTTTTAAGCAATTTTCATTTCCGATTATTCCAAAAATAGAATTCTGTGGACATGAAGATGACTCTTCTACAGCTTTGAACAGGCCTGTCCATGAAGGTGGCGGACCCGGAGCCTTAAAAACAGAAATAATACATATTTATTACTTGGTTTATTCATAAAAATGTCTGTACATACTGTTTAGAAGACAATCGTATTTATTTGGTCATATTAACGTTTATTTACAAACAGAATATGTACAAGTTACAATCTCTGCCCACATAACATAAAAATGAGGAATGTAAACCTTAATAAAATGAAAAAATTACATCATATAGTTAATAATACCTATATATACTACAGAAAATATAGCTAATGGAGATATAATTAATAATAATATGTTCGGTTCGTTATCAAGAAACTGTTATTCATTAGTTAATTCCATCATTTATGTAATGGTACTTTATATAGACGTCTTCAGTTAGGTACAATTAGAAACGAGCTAAATAAATATATATATGATATCAATGTTTACCTTAGTTATCTTACCCTAAACCGTGTGCTACTATTAGTTGTTGCATACGGTATGCCGAGATACTCAAAAAACGTTCCATCGCTACTGATTTTACCGATCAAAGTTCCTTGTTCGATAGTCACTTCTGAAGCAGGGTCGTCAACCAGTTTAATTGCTATAAAAGTTAATAAGAACAACTTATTTTTCCACTTCATTGTATTGACACTCACTTTATTGTTATTTTATTGTTTATTATGAACCTAACAAAACACTTGTTATAATATAACCTAATCTAAAGTAACATCACAAACACGACCGAAACGCATGCGCTTTGACGTCTGACTGACACTTACACACTGACATAGTACGTCATTTGAGTGGACTCAAGGATAGCGTTGATTCATAATTTATCAAGTTATACATTTTTTCGAATGAAGCAATGTGACTATAATAGCCTCAAGGTTAAATTATATGATGCAGTTCCTTTTTTTAACAAATTTTTTCAGTTCTGAGGTATGAAATAGAAATTAAATATTTGTAAAGTGGTCCAACCTATTACGCTAATATAAAATGTGTCTTTACCCCTTTGTAACTTAGAAGGGCGTTTTATCGTGGCGTCGCATGTTCAAACTATACTTAAATAAATTAGGCAAAAGGCGCAAACTGTTGAATTTTAACCCGACGCCGCGCGTGACTGACCCGAAATATACCCGCGCGGAATTTTAAATATTTTATTTATGTTACAAATTCTTGTAGACTACTTTTACCATATTTTTAATTAGTTTTTAGTTTTAACTTGGACTTTGAAATTATAAATATTTAATGGAAGAAGTGCATTAAAATCTAAAATTATTTCATAAATTGTATTGAATATAAAAAAAAATATTATTCCAAACAAATATTTTCTCTAAATATAAATCAAATTATTTTGTACTATTTAGATGATTGACAGCGGTATTGAAAATAAATATTACCATATCTTAAACATATAAAACCGAAAATATTCACACCATAGGTACGTAACTTTTGATTATTTTGTACATTCGTTTAATGAATTTTCGTTAACATATTATACAAATAATATATGAACTTATATAAATAATGAAACAGGGTAAACTATAAAAAGCGAGTAATTTACAAACAAGTGTACATCGTTCAGTATATAGGCGAGTTGCTATTACGTTTTTATTACTAGGAAGGAAACGTTATTTTTTATTCATAAAATGGCTTTATAATTGGTTTTATATTTCAAGCGGAACAAACGGTACAAATAAATATTACGATATTATACGTATTAAATTATAATTAATACTGGTTATTGTAAAACTATTATTATTTCAGCAAGGGATAGCAGTTTTAAACAACTTGTTACCGTGGCTAATGTTAAAGTTCAAGCAAAGCATGGTCAGTGAGGCAGAGCGATGAGGGCTATTGAATCACAGCTGAACATTTGCATCCGAGACGGGAATGCTATGTCAGCTATCGTCTCAAAAACTAATCTTCAAAGTGCTAAGTTTAAGAGTTTCAATGACGGACAAGAAGAGATTGGAGTGGCTTCATTGTGATGGTCATTTTAAATAATCGATCCTTTGCTATATACTTACACTATTTAAAATAAAAGTCTAGTGCACTTTTTAGATATAAAAATATATAATATGATATTAATAATAAATTTTTTACCTAGCTTATTCCACATTGTTCAGAATAAATTATATTATAATAAGACTTTTAGTGTCTTAAATGTAGCTATTGTTAAAAGGAAGAAGTACTATCATAAATTAAAATTGCATAGTCTAAGTAAAAAAATAATTTACTAAATTAATGTTACATCTTCAACAATTTATACGATTCCTTCTAGACCATCTCTTCCATAAAGAATTTTAGATTAAGTAGAAAAATTATTTTCTTGCACTTTGAAGCGTAAATGAATTTTTATCTTCGTTGCTGCTTTTAGGAGAATTCGAGACAAAGGAAAAACAGAAAATACTTTTAAATTATATTTACATTTTGTTGAACAATTAACTAATTATTTTTATTTGCTTAGTATTACTTTTAATATTTATTTCTTTTATCTTATACTAAGGAAAAAAATTAATGTAATAAAATCGTTGTTAAAACTTAATCAAATTGTTTTAAATGTATGTATTGTTAGAAATTATTTGGGCAACATTTCCACCTAGATGCTTAGTGCTCCACAACTCGTAACAGAATCCCCAGTCTAACACTTGTATCGTATTTATAATATTCAATAGTAACATTTAGGTGAGGCTGGGTTATAATATTTGGCGCTAATTCCACTTATAAGAGTTTCCATTAAATAATAAAACACTTAACATTGTGTAAAACATGCTAAGGCTCTAATTATAAATTATGAAACCAATTGTTAAGCATTTGGACATTTAAATTACTGTACAGAAGTATTAATAATATTAATTTACACTATTACAACTAATATATAAGTGGCGCTAGTTGACTGTCAAAAGAATTCCCAACAAATATTAGAATATAAATAACGTGAAGCTTAGAATTGTAAAGTAGACAAATATTTAAATCTTTATAAATAATGATTACTAACAGTATACATCATCTTTAATAAATTTTCAAATCAACAGATCATAAATGAGTTGATTCAAACTTGTAAAAAATATACTTAATTGTTAGTACAAAACACTAGTGGAACATCCAGACCACTTCAGCACGTACGTGTTCACTTTGTGTTTTTAAAAAACACCCGAAACTCGTTTCATTTCGACGTCTCGCTTGAACATGAGAGTTAATATTAGTAAAATTATGTTTTTTTAATGAGGAAACGAAAGGTTTTGCAAGAAAAGACAATATTGAATTTTATTTCTTTCTGAGCTATAGCTTGGAGTATCTTCATTCTTCTACTGGGATATCATTGGTATTTATGAGGAGGCAAAGGAGTTAAATGTTTGATGTTAGTGGTTTAAGTAGTAAAACATTGACTTTCATCGTACGAATATTGTATCTTTAAAAAAGCTGAATAGGAGAGGATGTATGTATGGTATGTCTTGGTATTCTTTGATGGAAAATTACTGCAAGAATTTATTTAATAGATTTCTTTGTTTCTGGTGACGGGGATGAAAAGTATCCAATGTTTCCATTCTAAGCTCACTCCTCGACATATTTCAATCAAATCCGTACAATAATGAGTTGTAAACAGTGTAACAATTCTTGAGTTATAAATAGTGTAACTCACACGACTGTCTTTTATAAATTGACATATAAAGAAAAGTTTAATATATATATATTGATTTGAATCCATTAGAACCATATAAACTACAATTTAAAATGTTAATAAAACTATTGTATGTTCTGGCACCCTAGTTTACTATAGAAGCTGAAAAAGAAGGTTATTTGTTTGTAAAAAGAAAGGTTGGCTGAGGTCAAAGATACAACATAATTTAATAACTCTAGTATTAAATTATGTTATAGCGTTTATCTTCTATGGGTATTCAGTATTTATATATCAATATACTAAAATCTTTCAATGATTATAAGAAGTAAGTTTAAAAGGAAATAAAGCTATGATGTTATTTTACTGTTTAGAAATCTAAAGATCTTGGTCTTAGAATATTTGGATATTTAAATTTACCTACAAATGAGAATATTTAAAGAAACAAAATATTTTTTAATGAAACAAAAAAATTACAACTCAATGTCATTAACATATTTTTATTAGAATATAGGAAGTATCACGTCTAAAGTCAATATTTATCAATGATTTTGTGTTTATCGTAGATATCTCGCCAAAACCGATACGCTTTATCATTAGGTATTGTTCCCATTTTTAGTTCATTCTCCATGTACAAGAATTTCATACTATTTTTAATACTCGGCTCCCATTTAACTCCCAATTCTTTAGGATCAGGAGTAGGATTTCTGAAAAATATTAATATTGTAAGTTGATTATATTTGCAACTAAGAAATATTAATGTAGTTTGGAAGCGATAACAGTCGTTAAGATATTTTAATTCTTAGAGGTAACAATTCTGCTTGTATAATATATTTATCAAAATATTTATTTATCTATGACTAACCCATATTTTGCAAAGTTAGTCCATAGTGTGGTTATATAATTAACCACTTTTTGATCTTCTTTGTTATAAACTGGAGGCAAAAGAGATCCACGAAACAAGTAAAAAAGATCATCGCCGTGAGATGCTCCTGTTTCATTATGATATCCAGTAGCCCACTTCAAATAGTTTCTTTTTCCAGAATAATTAAAGTGGTAGTTATATACTTTTGAGTTACTTGTGTTTACAAAATTTTCACTTTCCATTATTACAGGTATCTCAAAATACAAATGCCCAAATATGCCAGATATTTTCACTAATTCTTTTACGTTTAATTTATTATTTTCAAAATAAAGTTTTTCTACTTCTTTAGATTTCACAAATTCTTCATCTGTAGACGAAAATTGTAGATCATCAGCAAATAAACTTCTCTCTTTTCTGCCATCAAGATCTTTGAATGTTTCATCAGTTATGAAAAATAAACCTTCTTTACTTGTTGACCCATAGATAACATCCACATTGTTTGGCTTATCTTTTATAATATTAAAGGGCAAATCGGTAATAACAGGTTCCACTCCTGTAATTTCAGATTCAACACATGGTAAATGAAAAAGTAAAGGTTCGAAAAACCTTTGTAATTGTTTCTTAACATTTAAGGCAGTTAATTCTTGGTAAGTCATATTAGAAAATATCTTATACAATTCCATTGGATCTTTTGTATCGTAGCCAGCAGATTTTGCTAAGAGACGAGCTATTTCAAGAGGTTTTCTATTAATCGCCCATGGGGCTAATGAAGAGCCACTTTGTATGATTGCTCTTTTAAAAAGTCCATCGGCACTTTTACTTTTTAAAATAAGGGAAACTGATGTAGCTCCAGCACTTTCACCGAAAATTGTTATATTATCTGGATCTCCTCCAAATGCTGCAATGTTTTCTTTAACCCATCTTAAAGCTGCTATTTGATCTTTTATTCCAGCATTTCCTGGCGCCTCCTTAATTCTCAAACACAAGAAGCCCAGTATACCCAGACGGTAGTTAAAAGTAACTAGAATTACTTCTTTTTTTACTATAAAATCTGGACCATACATTAGTTTACCACCACTGCCGAGTATGAATGCTCCTCCATGAACATAAAATAAAACGGGGAGTGGTTTTTTCGCTACAGCTGGTACATATACATTAATTTTTAAACAATCTTCATTTCCAATTACTCCAAGATCTGTGTTTTGTGGACATGATGCAGATTCTTCAGTAGCTTTATATATACCTTCCCATGAAGGAGCAGGTCCTGGAGCCTAAAAAGTAGTATAATGTCACCTTATTAGCAGAGTAACACAACGAAAACATGATACGAAAAAAAATATTAAGGCTTCAAACTCAGCAAAATTACATTTCTCTTGCTTAGAATTTCAATTGAATGGCAAGAAGTTCAATAAGATGTAATATATATTCAAAGTAATAAAATAATCATTTTTCGTCAATTCGATCATTATAAGTTAAGCTATTTTAGAACTATTTAAAAGTATTCTAAATATTATTAAACTTTTGGTTTTTATGATACCAATCAACGTGATAAAGTATTACCACTTTATTTTTGTTACGTCTTATGTTATTTATACGGTTATATAAAATTAAAAAAGTCAATATATTTATCTCCAAAAAAATAATGTAATTTTGGTACTAAAAGTCTATCACAGGCTGTAAAGATATTGATGGGTACTTGTTAGTAGATAAAAAAAAACTAGTCTAGTCACTAAAGATTAATGTAAGTGTGTACTATTTTCGGGTTATATATAATTAAAGAAAATACTTAATTGCGGCCGAATAACTCAGTATTAAGGAATAACAGACGATATACAATCATTTGAAGACAAAATAGTTGTAGTTTTAAAAAACTTAAGTTTTAAATATCCAATAATCTATTTACTTCTTAAAATTTTGAGGAAATCTCTAGACCTTTCTATGTAGTTTTTGAAAAATGCCCGGATTAGTCTATTTTTTTTTGTAATCTACGTAAGATTTTTATTGCAATGGTTTTGTTATTAAAATAAGGCCACCGATTATGGATGTTACAGATATGATCTGGTCATGAAGAAAAAGTTGAATATTTAGTAAGTATTTCAAAAAATCCGGCTCACGGCATTAAAAGTGTCACAAAAATATATTTTATTTGTCATTTAAAGGGGCTCGAACACCATACACATAAAAGACCTATATATAAATTACATTACTTAAAGCATATTGTTCATTGAGCTGCATAGTCTCATTGTTGTCATGATTTGGCAAAAATAGTAACAGTTCTATCTATCTAAAATAAACGGAAATATTTTCGACCCATCGCTACTAACGCCGCCTTAAAGACAATATGGCCATAAGAAGCACTAATCGCTGCTTATTCTCCCTACAAATACGCTATGTCAAAACTCGTATTATATCGAAAAATATTAAAATATTGATAAAATATTTGTATCAGAAAACCTAAGGTCGGTCACTGATACTAATGCAATTTCAAGCCCATTTACACAATAATTGACGATAGCGTTACATTTTACATTCTACTTCTGTTTACTAACTTATCAATCGTATAAAACTATAAAATTACATTTAATTCTGAATCATTCCGGAACAATCTAGGTGTTTTTTGTCTTCTCATAATAACTGGTTTCGACTGGTTTTACTGAATTCAATTTAATTTGTCAATAATTTTCCTTCGTAAATGTGTATTTCATTTATATATTTTGTTTTCATTTAAATTCGATTTGTCTATATAATACAATAATCATAATTGAAGATATAGTGTACTGTTTTTATTTCATAATATTGAAATAAATTATTATTATCTTACCCTAAACCGTGTGCTACTATTAGTTGTTGCATACGGTATGCCGAGGTATTCGAAAAACGTTCCATCGCTACTGATTTTACCGATCAAAGTTCCTTGTTCGATCGTCACTTCTGGAGCTGGTTCGTCAACTACATTCATGGCTATGAATGTTAATAAAAACATTCTTTTCCTCCAACTCATTTTCTATATCACAAGGTTATATTTTATGTACTTTATATTTATTGTTCTTTTTAACGTGCTCAGATTTATACACAGAACACACACATAGCCGATACTGACAATAACGTATCTTATTTCAACAACAAACACAACTGACATGCAAGGACAACCATGTTTAACTAACGCTATGTTGATTAGGATGATCGTTTTGCGTCAATTTTATAAAAAATAATATCTATGATTAAATAGATAATAAACGATTGGTGAGACTGTAATTGTGGCACCTGTGTTAAGGATTTTATATGGAAATCTTTTGTAACTAATTAAATTACATAATACATTTCTTAACAGAAATAATCCTTCAAGAAAACACTAAGATATATATAAATGCATGTATTTCATGATGAATAAAACAAGAGTATTGTAAAGATCGTTAGGTAAATTATAATGGTGTTTATTCTATATTGTCGTGGTTTTTTTTCGCGAAAAAAAATATTAATTTATATCAGTTTTACGATTATCATCTTTATCTCGATTAATCCGTCGAAGTACAGATAATTCTCGTTTCAGTTTGAATCGATTTTCTTTTATATGTTTGTTTAATAACATTTTAAAATAAAAAAAAATATCACTAATTAGTTGTGTTGAACATGAAGCACAATCTATATTAATAAAATATACTAAAATATTTGATTACTTTCAACTTGCATCGTAGATGTTTAAAATTAACATCAAGCGCCTTTAGAAATCCATATTGCTGTGTGACATTCTGTTATAATATATAATCTCCATTATTCTTCTTCCTCTTCTACCTGGCAATTTCCCAGCTTTAGCCAGGGTCTGCCTTACAAATTGTAAATAGTTTTGGCTAATTGATTTTACGACCGGCCGCCTGCCTGACATCAACCCTCTTTGGGAATGCATTAATCAGTGATGTCTAAATACTCATAGAAAGTACATATAACTCGGAAAAATTACATTGGTACTTGCCAGGATCGAACCCGCGCCCTCCTGCATGAGAGGCGGACCCTTTAACCACTAGGCCACCACTGACTTAATCTCCATTATTATCATTTCAATAAAAATATAATCTCCATTATTATCATTATCTAACTAGAAGTATAAATTTATCAATATAAAATTTTCAATACACAGCCAGAACTTGTTACTAACAACAAAGATAAATGAATGAAGGTAATATAGATACTGGTTGAAACACTCCGTGATGAAACTTAGAAATTATTATTTATTCATAATAACTAAACTAACTGTAACCCCTGTTAACATCTCTTATGTTACAAAATGTTTAAAATTATAAAATGTTCCGCTAAAGATAATTTTTATCATATAATATATTAAACTAGCTTTTGCCTGCGACTCCATGCGTGTGAACATCATAGTTGTTGTCGGTCATATACGTATGTTTCATTGTATATGTACGTTCCTGTAGTTTTGTTGTCGGGGACGGTATTCGGGATTGAGGATAAAAAAACAGCAATGTCTTTCTCCAAGATTCCATATATTATATATCGCTATACGAATATTCATCAAAATTGATTCAGCTACTTAGGCTTTAAAACGTCACAGACAGACAGAGTTACTTTCCCATTTTAAATATTAGTAGGGAAACTATTCCAAGATCTTGAATGAAATTAAGCTATTTGATGATTTCAATGACAATTTTATTGACAACTAGTTTTTGCCCGCGACTTCGTCCGCGTTAGTTTCGTCATTAGTAATATATATATAGCTGACCAGGCGAAATCTATTCCGTCTTAGAGGCCATAAATAATCAGGTTTTTCCTGTATCAATCAAACAGAATTTTTGACATATTAGTTGGTTGTCAAATCTAATGTCAAAAAAAGCGTTTGTATGGGAAATAGAAAAGGGCTGGTTTTAGGGTTTTCCCGGCAATTATTCCAATTTTTCTCACCTTTTATACCTTCCCTGAACCTCCACGAACATTTCAAGACTAAGATAAGACAAATCCGTTCAGCTGTTCTCGAGTTTTAGCGAGACTAAGGAACAGCAATCCATTTTTATATATATAGAAGATGAAGTACAAAATTTTAATATTAGGTCTATTATATTGATAAAACTATTTAAAAAATAATTAATTACTAGATAATAATTCTAAGCGTCTTATACTAGTCACAACTTCTTAACGAAATATCCGATTGGGATGAAACAAAAAGTATTCTAATTTTAAATAAATGCCCTTGATAAGATAATGCTTATCTTCTATTTATTCATTTAACGTAGTTTCTTTCTCCAAACGATTTAATATTTTTTTAGCACAAAAGCAGAAATTATGGCTAAACTGTGATGCTCAGAAAAATATTATTGTGAACATTTTTCTAGATCTTAATGGGGTCTATAAACCCGTAGTACATTATTTTTTGTATGATCCATAGATTTTACACCGGACGCATAGATAGATAGGTTTTCAATTTTACTCGTTAGGTTACAAAGTAGCAATTTTCTCACGGATCTCTAAATTTTCTAATAAATATAGTCTTTCGCCTAGATATTTATAAAATCTTCAATTAATTAGAACATTTTATGGTTCTTTATTTTATAGCTTAGACAGCATATGCAAAATAGGAGTAACTTTTCGGATTGATTTTTCACACTTTATGTCCGAAAACCCCAAACATCTTACGGAACCCTATTTTATTAAACCTAGCTTATATTACTAGTGGATAATGTAGTTGTCGAACGGTAAAAGAATTTTTAAAATCAGTCCAGTAGTTTTTGAACCTATTCATTTAAAACAAACAAACAAATTTTTCCTCTTTATAATATCAATATAGATTAATCTATTACATATAATTGTTCTTAAAAATAAAAAAGTAGATAACTAATTTTGACCGCCATATGTTCAGAAATATTATTTTTAATTTACTAAATTATACTTGATGAAATACTCTTACGTCGATTGATTTGTCATCGAAATGCAAGAGTTAGCTTAAAATTGCGTACAAGGAATTGTTAGTAAAAATTTACAAAACAGTAACTGTATCATCCAGACTAGTTTAGCACGGACGTATTTAAAAAAATCTTTTCATATCGACGACTCGCTAGAACATGAGAGTTAAATTGTAGAAATTATCTTCTTTTCAATGTGAAAGCCTAGGGTTATGCAAGAAAAGTAGAAGTCAGTTTTGTTTTTAACCGAAAAATTAACTTAAATATTTTCCTTTATCACTATTTATGCTTGAATTTATGAAATGTCTGTATTAACTTCTTTTCGACGAATATTAAGTGCATATGTGATGAATAATTGATTATATACATTTTTTATTTTTACTGGGTTAACATATTCACAAAGTGTCATTTATTAGCTTAGAGTTGAGGTAAAAACTATTTTCCTTTATACGGACAACCGTAATACAGGCAAACATGGATGTGAGAAAAAATTGGTTTGCCATAACTTGAGACATACTCTTTAGAATTTTCCGGCGTCGGGACGTGACGACCCCATCGCCCACTGGTGTATTCCGGTGCAATCAGTCACGGGGGGTACAGCCCTGGGAGTAAGACGGTCACGGATCTGGCAGGAGGCCGTCCGTGGCTGTCTTGGGGGGGAGGGGATACTCGGGTCTCTCCGGAGGCCTGAGTTCGCTTGTGGTCGGTCGGTTTCCTCTCTGTCTGCCGTCAGGCGCTTGCGCTCGTCGGTGCTTGGTTGGAGACTGGCCGCGTGGGCTTGGGTGGGAGGGGTAAGGGGTTAACCCTCTCGCGATTAAACAAGCCCGCCAGGCGGGGGGACACTCCTGGTCACTTGGAGGGAGCCCTCGGGGGGGAGGTGGCCGTTCACGGCCCGCCGCCGGATCGTCGCGGATGCATGCTTCGGCGTTTCCCGTGGCGATCCACTTGGCGGCAACGGAGAGTGACCGCTGGTGTTTTAGTGGGTAACATGGGCCCTTCTGGCCGTGAATCCCACATAACCGCCTCCGTCTCCCCTAGACGGAGGGGTAGGTATAAAACCTTTCACCGCGATAACAAAAAAAAAAAAAAAAAAATACTCTTTAGAATTTGTTATTCTATTAATAAAAATAAAACATCTAATGTACATATTGTTTTGTAATAAAAATATATTTATCCTGTTGCCAGTGACCTTTTAATTCATTTATTCGCTATTTATGCCCGTTAGCAGCATCTGTTGATTGCTGATATAAATTATTATACTGTTAAAATTAAAGTACATTTATAATTTTTTACACCTCTCAGCGGTTAGATTCTATTTTACATGCAAAGTACATGAAAGGAAATATCATATAAATATTCAGATATAATAGGATAAATTTAGATTTAGACTCATAGGACTTTTTAATGGTCAAAATATTATTACATTTTTATATATATACATTATGGAAATATTAATAAAATTTTCCTAATAAAACAAATACTAGTTTTATAAATAACTTATTATTCCATTTGTGTATCATATTATTTGTTTATGATATATAGACTAAAAAAGCACTTTCTGTCACAACTATTATAAATTTATCAAATTAACTTATATATTTATGTATTTATTTATTTTTTTTCACTGGTGTATATATATATAATATTTATGTATTTAGATGTAGTATACGTATATATGTATTTATTATTATAGTATTTATTATATCATGGATATTTATGTATACTATGTATTATATTAAAATTGTTTTTTTTTATATATTATATTATTATTATTAAGAGCATATCTAATTGCACAATTATCTATTACCTGCTGCACACACAAACCCTTACAGCTGTAGGTTGGCTGGAAGAGATTTCTTATAGAAATAAGCCCGCCTTTTGTAAACAACAATTCTGGATGTAAAATAACTATGTAATTTTTCTTACTGTGCAATAAAGAGTATATATATATATATATTTAACAATGTTAATAAAGTATATTTGGTGAAAAATCTAACATTCTTTGTTTTAATCTCTTAAAACTTGATTGATACTAATGTTTACGACTAGATAGTATGTGTAATTCTGTATTTATCATAGATATCTCGCCAAAATTGATAAATTGTTTCGTTGGGCATGGATCCCATTTTCAGTTCGTGATCGATGTGCAAAAACTTCATATTATCTTTCATGCTTGGCTCCCATTTTACTCCAAATTCATTAGGATCAGGCGTAGGATTTCTGAAATAAAAACACGAAGTTGTCAATTCTATTTAAATAATATATTGCTTATGTATTTAATAGATTAATTACGACTTGTTTTGTAATGTAATAATTCATAGATGTAATATTTGATTGAATTATGTGTTGAAGCTTTAGAGATATATTTTTAGCTATCTTAGCTGTAGAAAAACTAAAGTTTACTGCTAATATTTCTTATATCTGATATTTTTGTTGAAAATAAATTTATGGTAAACTATAAACATAATTCTTGTCATGGTTCACAATCTGACATATGTATATAAGGGAAAAACCATTAGAAAAAGTGTCACCTACATTTACGAATTATAACTATAGAAATGACAGGATAAAATAACATGATTTTAAATAAACTTTATAAGTAATTAATTTTATTCATATTACCCATATTTCGCAAAGTTAGTCCACAGTGTTGCCATGAAATTCACTACTTTTTTATCTTCTTCATTAATAAGTGGAGGTAAAAGAGATCCATAAAATAAATAGAAAATATCGTCACCATGGCTAGCCCCAGTTTCAAAGATAAATCCATTAATAAATTTCAAAAAGTTTCTTAGGCCAGAATATTTAAAGTAATAGTTATACACTTTTGATTGACTTGTATTCAACAGGTATTCGCTTTCTAATATTACAGGCATCTTGAAATATAAATGTCCAAAAATGTCGGATATAGTTGCTACGTCTTTTATACTAAAGTTTTTCTGGTCAAAATATAAATTCTCTACTTGTTTGGAAATCATAAACTCCTCATCTTCAGAATAAAATTGTAGATCACCAGCAAACAAACTGCCTCCCTTCCTTTCTTCGAGAGATTCAATTGTTTCACTACCCATTATAAACAAGCCTTCCTTACTTGTTGATCCATACATTGCGTCTACACTGAAAGGCTTATTCTTTATAATGTTTATGGGCATATCATCTATAACCGGTTCTAAGCCTGGAATATTAGACTCAACACAAGGAAAGTAAATAAGGTTAATTTCAAAAAAGTTATGCAATTGTTTCTTTATATGCAAGGTAACTAATTCTTGGTTAGTCATATTAGAAAATATTCTATACAATTCCATTGGATTTTTTGTATCGTAGCCAGCAGACTTTGCCAGGAGACGAGCCGTTTCAAGAGGATTTCTATCTATTGCCCAGGGGGCTAATGAAGACCCGCTTTGTAAAATTGCTCTTTTAAAAAGTCCTTTGGCACTTTTACTATTCAAAATAAGGGAAACTGATGCAGCTCCCGAACTTCCACCGAAAATTGTTATATTATCTGGATCTCCTCCGAATGCTGCAATGTTTTTTTTAACCCATCTTAAAGCTGCTATCTGATCCTTTATTCCAGCATTTCCTGGAGCCTCCTTTATTCTCAAACACAAGAAGCCTAGTATACCAACGCGATAATTGAAAGTCACAACAACTACTTGTTTTTGAACCAAAAATTCAGGACCATAGATATTTTTACCGCCACTTCCAAAACTGAAAGCACCTCCGTGGACATAAACTAATACTGGGAATGGTTTTTTATCTGACGCGGGAACGTAAACATTAAGTTTTAAACAATCTTCATTTCCGATTATTCCAATAAAAATATTTTGTGGACATGATGGAGGTTCTTCCACAGCTCTGTATATGCCTTCCCAATGTGGAGGTGGTCCCGGAGCCTAAAAAGAAATGTATTAAATTGTTATATATAAAAATTATTACTATATATAAAATATTCTACTGTCTTAACTTTTTGGCTTTTCCTTTTGTCTATTTGTAGTTTATCTAAGTATCTTCTAAATTGTATTTTATGTCAAAAGGTTGGGAAATTTAAAATACCCTCAATGTTTATGACATAATATTTAATTCTTATTTACCTGTTTTAATTACCTACCCTAAACCGCGTGGTACTGTTAAAATTTGCATAAGGTATGCCAAGATATTCAAAATACGATCGGTCACTGCTAGTTTTTCCGATTAAAGTTCCTTGTTCGATTGTCACTTCCAGAGCCGGGTCATCAACTAAATTCATGGCGATAAATGTTATAAAGAACACTTTCTTCCTCCACTTCATTTTTTTTTCAAATTATTATGTTAAGTACTATGGTTGTACTGTTAAGTTCTAAAATATCACGAACAATGTCTTGTTATCTCAAATTTAATTATTTACTACAACTGAGACATTGTAACCTTATAAGAGCATTGATGTAAATGATGTTATCTTGATAAGATTCATAATTCTACATAATTTTTTATGAAATACTTATTTGTTAAGAAACTGAGATACGTAATTGCTGATACATAAATAAGACCATTGTGTTTAAAAGGAATTACATATGCAAAAGACGCCTTAATATTATAAATAAGTATTTTGTGGAAAGCCTAATAAGTTTACTGCATAGTAATCAAAGCCACAAAAATTCAACAATTACAAACAATTTAAATATGTAAGGGATGAAGTTAGACCTTTGTTATTTAGCGGAATATTGTTTTTCCATTTCGTAATTTTTTTTTCGATATAACTTTTGTATTTTAAAAAGGAAGTTATATAAATTATGTTTTTATATCATACAAATATGTATTGTCATATATATTTAAAAATACAAGAAAAGTACTTACTAAGTAATTTATTTATATATTCTAGGTTTATTTTTTTTAATCCTAAAGTAATCATAAATTAAATAGAGTAAACAGATCTAATCTTTTTCAGTAAACGTGTCATTGAAGCAAAATCTTGAAATAACAAAATTATTATTTGACAAAGTTAGATGCCTGGAATTTATATTCTTATAATTTAAACATTAATAGAATAAAGAAAAATGATTTTTTTGATTTATATAACCACTGATCGCGGAAGGAAAAGAAAGTTGTTTACATGGCATTTTTTTTAAAGCGGTAGTCTGTGGATAGTACGAGAAAAAAATTCGAATTCAACACCTAGTTAGAAAACCATTTATAAAATTGGCTTACAATACCTTTGTTGGTAGATTCCTCTCCTTGTTTTAAATAAGCAATAATTACCAAGCAGGCCATTTATAGGTCACCGAATTGCAGGAGTTGGCTTGAAACTGCATACATGGAATTGTTAGTACAAAACACTAGTGGAACATCCAGACCACTTCAGCACGTACGTGTTCACTTTGTGTTTTTAAAAAACACCCGAAACTCGTTTCATTTCGACGTCTCGCTTGAACATGAGAGTTAATATTGGCGCAATTATGTTCTTTTTAATGAGAAAACGTAAGCTTATGCAAGTTGAGCAAATGAGTTTCATTTCTATCCAAACTATGTTTTGTTTGAAATTATAGCGATTATAATCGTTGACTTATCACGCTTAAAAAGTATGTAACTCTATCATATAATACAAATGAAACTTGAATACACTACAAAATAAGAATGATTGTATCAAGGGATTATCTTTAAAACAAATTCGTTATTACACATCATCCCCCAACATCATGTTTTAGTTTACATAACAAATTCTTTGGTAGTACGCCCTATCAATACATGTACAGAAACGACGTCTGCATATAAAACGTTCACATTTTCAATCCGTTTAATAAATCACCATGTAAAAACTCTACACTTCAGTTCACCTAAGACAATAATAAATTTAATGCCAGCGACACGTTGTCATTTTATCTGAGACGTTGATTGATCATTTCCAAGTCTTTTACATTTCATTCATTTATAACTTTAAGCTCCACGACCTCTTTAGCTGTGAAACTCACTGTTCTAATATTTTTGAGGATTATGTTGTAACATAATTTGATATTATAACGTTAACGCATGGCATCTTATTTTGATTTTTTTTTATAGGCGCCTCAGGCTTGTGAACATTTATCATCATTCAGGATTTATAAGGCGGCATTATTTATAAAATATGTTAAACAAAATTGTTACTTAAATAATCAAAGTCATAAGACATCTAGACGTCTCTAAATTGGTAGCTGCCTAAAAATCAAGTAAAATAATCGAGTCAAGTGTGTTGTAATACGATGGATCATAAATCTAGAATATTACAAAATGAATTTCTATAAGGAAATGACATTGAAGAATGATGATGACACCTTGATGACATTAACTTGAACTGTGACGGTTTATTAAAGGAATGACTGTATAATTCTTAGAAATATAATTCAAACTTACTTAATTTTTGAAAAAAATAATTAAGAAAGTAAATTTTAAATGGCTCAAGTTACTTTTGGTGACTGACTGAAATCATCTTAAACTGATTTCGAAATCCATCAGACTTTAAAAAGCCAACATTATCCTATCGCTAAGTGCTCGGGAACTTTAAATTTATTCCGATAGATACCACAGAGATGCAGCGAGCAGAATAATTCAGGCTTCTACTTGCTGCTCAATTGAGATGCGAAGGTCGATCCCTCTAAAATATCTAACATGTAGGGATCTGTGGTGAATATAAAAATTTGCTTAACCTATTCCATTTTATTCGAAAATTGTCGTGGCACTATGTACTCGTTCTTCACTATAATACATATATGTACCTACATACCGGGACACTATCTGGAGTGTGAAAAGGCAGAATATAAAATAAATAAAATAATTTGGAAAATATCTCAGTTATATATAAAAGACACATAAAAAACTTAAAATGTTAGGTTGTACTTATTGAAGGGATCAAATTACAATAAGCCGAGTAACAAACGATCAGTCAGCATAAGATCGTATTATAATCATTTTTCTTTTTTTGTGGATATAAAGTGACGGAAAGGATATAATTTATATAAACGTATTATTTTTATTAACGTACTGATGCCATATATTAAAAATTATATATCGTCTTAAAAATAATGAAGACAATTGAGTTGTAGACGAATTGACACAAAGCGATCCCTTAGTAGTACTTTTTTTTTATTTTGTTTCACTAGGCGCTTATTTAATAAAACAAATTAAATCTTTTTACTTCAGGGTGAAAATGACAAAATTTTACATCTATAATTATACATTCAGTAACTTCGAGTGTTAAAAGTATATGCTACAATCTGTCCAAAAAAAGTTGAAATAAATCATGCGAGACCTTTTGGGAGTAAACTTAATTCTTAATAAAAATAGAAAGTATTTAAATAAACCTTTAAGAAGACATTTTCCTGTAAATTTCCATCTTAGTATTTTAAAGTCAAAAAAATTCATTCGAAATTCAAATGGTAATGACTTTACTACAGGATCTACTTTCGAACATAATGAACATGAAATATAATTAATAAGTGAGAATACACAGGAGCAGTATTATAACACAACAATAATCTACTTATTTCATAACTCTCATAAAAACTAACAACACTAAAATTACCCAACACTTGAAAAATAAACTGACATAAATGCAGACTTAAAATTTCCACGGGGACCTCTCAAGGAAACCTCCCTTTTCCAACATAATTTTGTGGTACAATTTAAAAGAAAATTGCATAATTCAGTCAAATATTACATCATATTTCATTACTCATCACAGTTTTTTTGTTATAAAATACTTTGGAAATATTTTTGCTAGTTTGGTAAGATATTATATCATAATTATAGTAGTAATTTTAAGGCAAAATACTTATTATTTACTAAGTAATATTCCTAATAATAACTTCAGCCGGATTATTACACCACACACCATAACACAAGAGCTCTGTACTCGCAGCTTCGATTCACACAGAAACATTCGCGACTAGTACCCTTAAGTTGTGGTAATTAAGTGCGATTTTCGCGTGACATATCATAAGGTTTTAAACTTTCCATGCACTAGTAGATTGAGACGTTTTTACGCTGCAAATGTTTTAGCTTTGAAAGTTGCCCGCGAAATTAAACTGGCAAAAAAAGGAATTATTAAACATTTACATTTAATTTGTATTCGTTACCGACAGACCATATGAGGTTGGGTGATATAAAATTATGTATTTGGTATTTGTACGAAATCAGAACAATTTTCATATCCGAGTATATAAGGCCTAAGAGGATATAATTAAAAATTATTATTAAAACCTAAAGAAAAGAACGCTCTTACATTGAAGGTTATTTAATAATAAATAAAATTTCTTGTTTGTTTCTAATACCTAAGCCTCTATAAGGATCAAATGTATTGCAAAACTTTTTGTGTATTCCTAATTTAGTAAAGCTGGGAGTTTGATGAGAACAGTAACTTCGCTGATCGATACTACTATATAATGAGAACGTCCTATTGTCTATCGACCAGAAGCAAATTGAATGCTTCGTATGGAACTACATATATTCAGGAATAGGATTATAGGGAGAGGCATCCTGTGTCATAATGATATCACAACAACGTGTAACAACATCGACCTTGTGTACATAGTAATAAATGCTGCTTTGCATCAAATCGGTAGACTTTGAGGTTTAGATGCATAATTAGTGTTAAAGTTTCCCATTGTCATTAGTAAGAGAATTGTCTTTGAATCTGTATGTTCAAATCATATTGAAGTAATGGGTGTCTTTGTGTATTAGTTTTGTAAACGGGTGAAGGTGAAGTAATGGGTATCAAGGTTTCAAAACTTAAACTTCATGAATATTATTTATGCCACTGAACGCTATTCTGATGGTGTCGATGAATTTTTACATCAATTTCCATTTAGAGATACACTGAAACACTTAATTTCTTTACCGTCTTTATTGTTCGTAATAATAATGAAAATACTCGAAGTTATGTTTGATTAAATGCACTTCAGCTTTAAAAATCGCCTGTCAAGTCTTAACAGAGCCCCTTAAAGGCTGAGATGTAAGCATGATTTCCCCCTGGAAATAAAAACGATGGGGTAGCTCTTGTGCCGGTATTCGATGTCAGTACAAGTTAGCAACCCTAAAGTTTTGATGATGCTGATAATTTTAAAAACAAGAAGCAACCTTAGTTTATCAAAAGCCCAATAGTCGTAGATTTACAGTATAATTATTCCATACAGGTGATGTTTTGAGGGTGAAAATTATATTGTCAAAGAATAAAGTTCATAGTTTCCATGACAAAAAGCTATAAACAAAAATTCAATAATCCTTTTCAAAACACAGATCTAAAGTGTTACAAACAACACTCAGCATAATTCATTTTTTACG